TCCTTTTTTTGGTAATTCTGTAACAAATATTTTTATTTTTCAAATGTATAGGTATCTCTATAAAGAATGCTGTATTAGCTAAGGTTTTTGGTTACATGACAGGGAAGTTAACTGGCTATCTTCAGAAGAGAAATTTAATTGAAGAATCCAAAGGAAGACTAAAGAATCTTGGACATAAACCTAAGGTTGCTTGGTGGCAAGGAATACTAGCTAGTCATGCCACACAAACATTTTAGGACCTACACTGTTTCTACTGCCAGTTTAAATAATTTACTTACTGGTGGTTTATTTGAAGTGTTAGTTGGAGTTCAAAGTCTAGGGAAGGAGTGGCTTGGCTGAGACCTTGTTCTGGCTGCCAAGAAGGGAAGGATCTCCTCTTTATGGCTTCTTTTTTGGTCTCTCACCAAAACTCACATAATAAGGAATTTGCCCCCAAGTAAAAAGGGGGTTTGGATTTAGGAAGACTCCTTAAAAAGAGAGATGATTTTTCCTTCAAAACTATCTATTAAAATATATTTCTAAATATTTCTGTGTGTTGACAGGTAGCATTATGCTTTTTGAAATACAAGATGAAATTGTTAAAGGCATATCAAATCTTTGGAAGATATATGAATGTGTCTGTTTTATAAAGTGTGGACAAAAAAGGGGACACATACTAAATCTGAAAAGCTCAGGGGAGGCTGCAGAGAGGGTCTTACAAACTCCGAGACCTAAACCAAACCATATAGAATGGTCAGAGATTAAAACTTCCTAACTAAAAGTGTGTCATGGTAGGTAGTCATGTCTTAGGACTGAATCTTCCTTGACAATCTTTACCTTAATTGAGCCTCTCTTGTCCTTTTGCTGGTATAGTAACATACCTTTGGAATGTCAAAGTAATTTTCTTTTTCAGACCCCCCAGGTCACAATCTCCCACCAGAGCACACCACACCACGAACCACTCATTATTTTATTGTCCAAATACCATCTGTATGTGCCGTAAATGTTAAATGTCAACTATCCTATACCCACCAATATAAATGAAGTTGTGATACTTAGAGAAAAGTGATTTTGATTCTTTTTAAAGTAAAACTATCTTAGCTATCCCTAAATTGTATAGTATGACCATGATTTACAAAGGTAAGATTGTGTATTTTCCTAAGAAAAAGAATCACAGAAAGCAAAGGTGATTGCCAGATATGCGCATTTATTTCTTTTCAACATTTTCTTTGGTAGACAAAAACATTTTATATTTAAAATGTGTCCAAAATGTTGCTATAATTTATAAAAATAGATAAAATGCACAGTAAACACACATGCCCTAATTGTTTCAAAACATATCAATGGAAAAACAAAGTTGCTAAAATCAAAATAAGACCAGAGCTGCTAATTCAGTTAGGAAATATTTACATTCTTACCTATTTTCCTTAGTTTATAATTTTTTTCATAGTACATTTCATGAATTATTGCTTTTTTATAAACAATAACTTTTTTTCCTAGGTAAATATGTGCTGTATAATTTTGGAAAAAGAAATGTGGATTTGCATTAAAAATTTTGGGGAGATGTTTATGATATGCATGGATGCCTTTGACTCATAAGATCTTGACTTCAGTAATAATAGTAATGTCTCCATTATAACTACAGATTGTAATATGGAATATAGATAAAGTATAGGCAGATAACTTAGATACAAATGTTTTCATCCTCACAGCAGAATATTATAAACATCAAATCTTCTAGAAGGTTCCTAAACTTACAAATCCTACAAGCATGAATGCACATTGCAATAGGCAGCAGAAAGTCATTTCTCTATTACAGAATTCTTGTCATTCTTATCATTTCATCATCACAGTTAAACTTGTTCTGAGTTTTCATATTTTTTCCAGGACTTCAGGTGCTTTGATGTTTTAAAAAATTCATTCTTTAAATTTTCTGTAATAAGAAAATGAGAGTGTTATAAACTTGGGCTGTTCTTGTTTCTCAGTGATAAAGAGTGGCATGCAAAAACATACTGCAATACAGCAAAAAAGAAAAACCAAAGATCCCTTATTATAACACTTCATACAGGATCATAGAATCTTTTCTGAAGTTGTCTACTTCCCCCCTCCCCCTCCCCCACCAAGAGATCTGTCTTGGATAAAACATTATAAAATGGAAGTAATCTGGTAACCTACCTTTATTATAATGTTTGCTTGCTTCGACCTGGGATTTAGGCATCTTTGTCCTTTATTTGCTTTCAAGGTGATACTGTTAAAGGAATATCCAAAACACTTTTAAATTTTGGATGGAAAAGCATAAGCCAAAAACACCCCCAAAATGCCTCCATCATTGTCATCTTTAGCAAGTCCATTACTTACATCACTTCTATTTTGTCACAGTTGTTACTTGGGTAAATTACAGAGATTTTCTCAATATCTGCCACTCTCACTGCCTTTACTCCAGGGCCTATGCAAAGACAGCGTCCCCTTTTGAACATTGGGAAACCTAAAACAGATCATAGCATCAGTTACTAATGGATCTGATTGCAACAGAGAACTATGGCTTATAATTCTAGTGAAGAATGTGAGCCAAGTTTTCATTAATGATAAAAAATGGTCATTTGTCAAATAGCATTTAACACTGCTGTTGCTAGGAAAGGAGCTTAAGTAATATATTAATGATTTTCTCTTTAAATTTGTAACAAAATCATTAAAGAATAGATGAAAGCATAAAACAAGTCTTGAAGATCAAGCTTATTTGCCTTTTACTTTTATTCTCAAAAATTTTTCCAGGAAGCTAGTACCATTATTTCACAAAAATCTTTTTAACAGACATTTAAAACTATTGCTAAAGGCTCTTGTCAGATTTTGTAACCAAATACATTTTGTGAAGTTTGTCATCTCTATTTTCATAATCATCTCTAATATTGCAAACATTTTTTACATTCTCTGACAAAGATGTAGTAATTCTAATGTGTGAAGTTAAATAAAAATTTAGTATATATTTTAGGGTAAAAGTGGAAGAAAAAACATTAGAAGAATTAGAAAAGAAATTTATAGGCTGAGAAATAAAAAGTATCATGTACCTTGAGCAATTGTAGCACATAATATCACTGCCAAGACTATAGCCATGCCCTTCACATTCATGTTTGTTGCTGCTGCTTCAGATTTGATCTCTTCTTGAAGGAAGTAGAAAAGCTGAACATAGAAGGGAATTATTAGTTGGCATATAGAGGGCATTTTATATACCATCAATCCTTAATGACAACAGGAATTTCCCTTCTTGAGTCATGCTTCTTTCTTGCTTCCTAGAGTTTCTGTTTTGTTCTCTTCTAAATATCACTCTCCTTTCCTAGTTGTTACTGTGTCGAAAGTAATACTAACATACTATAAAAAGTAAACAGCTATGTATCCAGATAGGAAACAGCCTTCTTAAGGAGGCGTTTCCTATAAATGTATCTAATTATTGGATTATCCCTGGGCAGTGGAATTCTGATTGCCATTCATTTTACTTTTTTTATTCAGGAAGATTGTCTTCCTGTTTTCAAATTTTTAATATATTTATTGAATTTTTTAAAAAGTTACTTGACATTCTTTTGTATTCTGATAGTAATTCTCTCTTTTTTAAAAAATATATTTTATTGATTTTTCACAGAGAGGAAGAGAGAAGGATAGAGAGTTAGAAACACCGATGAAAGAGAAACATGGATCAGCTGCCTCTTGCACACCCTGCACTGGGAACGTGCCCACAACCTAAGTACATGCCCTTGACCGGAATCGAACCCAGGACCCTTCAGTCCGCAGGCTGACGCTCTATCCACTGAGCCAAACCTGTTTCAGCTATTTTATTGATTTTTTACAGAGAGGAAGGGAGAGGGATAGAGAGTTAGAAACATCAGTGAGAGAGAAACATTGATCAGCTGCCTTCTGCACACCACCTATTAGGGATATGCCCACAACCAAAGTATATGCCCTTGACCGGAATCGAACCTGGGACCCTTAAGTCCGAAGGCCGACACTTTATCCACTGAGCCAAACAGGATAGGGCTATCTTCCTGTTTTCAGTTTTTTCACTGTCATTCTTCATATAACTATACAGAAGAACATTTTTAAAAACCCCAATTTTTATCATTTTACTTTTGCTTTTCAGTCCAAACTTATCATTTGTACAAATTCTACTACATTATTTAACAAAATGACTTTTACTTAACCTCATTTATATTTTTGCCAACTATAATTGCATGTCTAAATAAGTCTGCCTATATACTTGTGAGTTGATAACCATTTTTTATTTAAATGCATCCAATTTATTTATTTAAAATTTTTTTAGTATTTAAAGTATTACAAATAGTAGTACATATGCCTCATTTCCCCCCCATTAACCTCCCCCCTGCCTCCCATATTCCCCATCACATGCCCTCCTCCCCAGCCCCCGGTTTTCCTTACATGCATGCATACAAGTCCTTTGGTTGATCTCTTACTCTTACCCCACCCCCTCCCCCGCTTTCCTGCTATAGTTTGACAGTCTGTTCACTGTTTATATCTATTTCTATTCATCAGTTTATGATGTTCATTATAGTATACTAGAGGCCCGATGCATGAAATTTGTTCACGGGGTGGGGGTGGGGAGGGGGGTGTTCCTCAACCTGGCCTGCACCCTCTCGCAATCCTGGACTGCTGGCTCCAAACTGCTCACCTGCCTGCCTGCCTGATTGCCCTTAACCACTCTGCCTGCCTGCCTGCCTCATTGTCCGTAACCACTGCCTCCTGCCTCATCACCCCTGACTGCTCTGCCTGCCTGCCTCATTGTCCCTAACAACTTGCCTGCCTGCCTGATCGCCCTAATTACCTCTACCATGGCATTACTGTGGCGACTTTGTCCAAAAGGACATCTGGAATGACATCCGAAAGGTCGTTCGGCTGTTACATCTAATTAGCATATTGTGCTTTTATTATTATAGATTCCATAAATGAGTGAGATCATGGGATAGTTATCTTTCTCTGGCTTATTTCACTTAGCATAATGCTCCCCAGTTCCATCTATGCTGTTGCAAATGGTAAGAATTCCTTCTTTTTTACAGGAGTATAGTATTCCATTGTGTAGATATACCACAGTTTTTTAATCCACTGATCTGCTAATGAGCATTTAGGCTGTTTCCAAATCTTAGTTATTGTAAATTGGGATGCCATGAACATTGGGGTGCATATATCCTTTCTGATTGATGTTTCTGGTTTCTTGGGATATAATCCTAGAAGTAGGATTACTGGGTCAAATGGGAATTTCATTTTTAGTTTTTCAAGGAAATGCCATACTGTTTTCCACAGTGGCTATACAAATCTGCATTCCCACCAGCAGTGCAAGAGGGTTCCTTTTTCTCCTCATCCTCTCCAGCACTTGTTGTTTGTTGATTTGTTGATGATAGCCATTCTGACAGGTGTGAGATGGTAACTCATCGTTATCTTGATTTGCATCTCTCAAATGATTAGTGTCTTTGAGCATGTTTTCATATGTCTCCTGGCCTTCTGTATGTCCTTTTTCAAAAAGTGTCTATTTAGGTCCATTGCCCATTTTTTTTTATTGGATTGTTTATCTTCCTTTTGTTAAATTTTATGAGTTCCCTATAAAATTTGGATATTAAACTCTTATTGGAGATAACATTGGCAAATATGTTCTCCCATGCAGTGGGCTTTCTTGTTTTGTTGGTTTATTTTGCTGCACAGAAGCTTTTTATTTTGATGTAGTCCCATTTGTTTACGGACAAGGAGTCTGGAAGGCTGGTCAACCCTGAGGCTCTGGCTATGGTCAGAGCCTGATACCCACTGTCTAGTTGAGACAAAGGTAGCTGAAGCAACTTCTACCTTTTAGTCTTATGTAAATCTTTGCTGATAGGCTATCACTGAGCTATTACTGGAATTGCCTGCCTAAGGGCTATGGGTGTATTCCAAACCTGAATAAAAGAGATGGCAAGGCCCTAGCAAAGCGGAATCCTTACTTGGGCTTCCACCTGGCTCCCAATTTCCAAATTATTGTTTTTTGTCCTGACTCATTTGCGTGTGGCCTCCTCCAGAGCCCAAACCTGAACTTGAACCCTGAACCACGCAGGACGTGGGACTCTTGCAACATTGTCATGACAAGTGTCTGCTATTTTGCTGCCTATGGCTTCTTCTAAGATTTTTATGGTTTTCCATCTTAGGTTTAAGTCCTTTATCCATTTTGAGTTTATTTTTGTGTGTGCTGTAAGTTGATGGTTTAGTTTCACTTTTTTTTTTTTTTATGTAGCTGTCCAATTTTCCCAATACTATTTATTGAAGAGACTGTCTTGACTCCATTGTATGCTCTTGCCTCCTTTGTCAAATATTAATTGGGCATAATGGCTTATGTTGATTCCTGGGTTCTCTGTTCTCTTCCACTTATCTATATGTCTCTTCTTATGCCAGTACCAGGCAGTTTTGAGAACAGTGGCTTTGTAGTATAGCTCCATATCTGGTATTGTGATCCCTCCAACTTTATTCTTCTTTCTCAAGATCGCTGCAGCTATTCGGGGTCTTTTTCTATTTCAGATGAATTTTAGGTCTTTGAAGTATGCTGTTGGTATTTTAATGGGGATTGCATTGAATTTATAAATTGCTTTGGGTAGTATGAACATTTAATAATGTTGATTCAACCAATCCATGAATATGGTATATTCTTCCATTTGTTTATGTCTTCCTCTACCTCTTTTTCAGTGTCCTGTAATTTTCTAAGTACAGATCCTTTACCTCCTTGGTTAAATTTATTCCTTGGTATCTTAATATGTTTTTTTTATTACAATGGTAAATGGGATTATTATTTATTTTTTTTTTTAGTTTCTCTCTGTGTGAGTTTATTATTGGTGTATAATATAAAAAAGCCATAGACTTCTGCGTGTTAATTTTGTATCCTTCTACATTGCCAAATTCATTTAATAAATCTAGTAGTTTTTTGATGGAGTCTTTAGGGTTTTCTATGAACAATAGCATGCCCTCTGCGAATAATGGAAATTTTACTACTTTTACTTTGTTTGCTTGTTATTCCTCACCTGAGGATATTTGTCCATTGCTTTCAGAGAGAATGAAAAGAAGGAAGGGAAAAAGAGAGGGAGTGGAAGAGAGAGAGAGAAAAACATCAATGTGAGAGGTACATGGATTGGTTGCCTCCCACACTTGCCCTTTTCTACAGTAATTTGTGCATTTATTCATTTAATAAATATTTACTTTAGGTGTCTCTTACATACCTGGCACTCTTGAGCATTGAAGATAGAGCAGTGAACAAAAGCAATGAAGTTCCTTTTTGTGTTTGCAAATTTTAGTTTTCTAACTCATTGTAGAAGATAGTCTACCTTATTTCTTTTGTTTCTGTAGATGTGTGTTTTCAGGACCATGACTTGTTCTGGACTAAATACTTTTTAATACCATCTGCAGAGGAATAATTTCTTTCAGAATATCCCATCTAGTGAACTTGAGGATCCCTCTTCTTCCTATTTATATAATCTCATTCCTCTAGTTTTCTCTCCTTCTCTTCCTTAAGTTGTGATATCTTCAGGAAGCCTTCTTAAGACATAAAGATTTCTTCTCCTGGCTTCATAACACTTACTGTTGTCTAGCTTTATCCAATAGAAAATATAATGTAGCCGGGACCGGTTTGGCTCAGTGGATAGAGCGTCGGCCTGCGGACTGAAAGATCCCAGGTTCGATTCCGGGCAAGGGCATGTACCTTGGTTGCGGGCATATCCCCAGTAGGGGGTGTGCAAGAGGCAACTGATCAATGATTCTCATCAATGTTTCTAACTCTCTCTCTTCCTCTCTGTGAAAAATCAATAAAATATATTAAAAAAAAGAAAAGAAAATATAATGTAAGCCTAATGTGAACCACATATTTAATTTTAAATATTCTAATATCCATGTTTAAAAACTAAAAAGAAACAGTTGAAATTCATTTTGATAATATATTTTATTTAATCCAAAGCATGAAAAAAGTATTCCAATGTGTGATCAATATAAAAATATTAAATGAGATTATTTTAGTTCTAAGTCTTCAAATTGGACAAGCAACCTTTCAAATTCTCAGTAGTCACCCTAGCCAGTATGGTTCAGTGGATGGAGCATCAGACTGCAGGCCAAAGAATCCCAGGTACAGTTCTGGTCAAGGACACATACCTTGGTTGCAGCCTCATCCCCTGGTCAGGACATGCAGGAGGGAAGCAATCAATATGTTTCTTTCATATTGATATTTTTATCTTTCCTTCTCTCTGAAAATCAATGGAAAAAATTCTTTGCTCCCACGTGCCACAGTCCTGCCCAGCACTCGCACTTACCATTGGCACCATACCCGCTTGCACCCACTGCAGCACTAGAGCTGCCATTTGCATCCACAGCTAGTGCCCGGGGCACTGGCCCCAATTGCTCAGTGCTGTCAGTGGGTGCAAGCAGCAGTTACCAGCCCCAGTTGCCCCTTAGAGCTTCTCCCCCGACTCCTGAAGGGTGATTGGGCTGGTAGCCTCCTCTCACACCTGCTGCCAGTGACAGCCCCACTTGTACCCACTGCTAGCACTGTCCCCACTCACACCCATAGCTGGCACAGGAGCCACCACTCAACCCTACTGCCAGCGCCCCGTGTAGGTCCCGATCACTCAGCACCATCAGTGGGTGTGAGCAACAGCTGCCAGTCCAGATTGCCTCTCCACCTCCCCTTGCTCCTGAGGGGCGATCAGGGCAGTAGTCTTCGCTCACTCCCACTGACGGCACCAGCCCCACTTGCACCTGCTGCTGGTGCCGGCCTCAATCGCTCCGTGCCATCAGCACGTGGGAGCGATGGTGGCAGAGTGGGGCTGTCAGCAGACAGGGGACTGGGCACCAGGGCAGGAGGGGCTGGTGGGCAGAGAGGAGAGGTGTGGAGGATGGGCCAAGACCCACCCCTGTGCCAGCGCACCTCACGGCCCACCGTTCCTTTCAGGATGCATGAATTCATGCTTTGGGCCCCTAGTATTAAGTAAAGAAGGAATGAAGAGGAGAGATACTGTGCTTTTTGTTTTATTTTAGAAACTTTCCTAAGTCTCCCTAGTCCTTTTGTTCTTTCCCTCTTCACTAAGTCATTATATATGCTTCATTGTTCTTTCTCTGATTAAGCTTAACAAAGATTAAACTGCACTGTCTCTTTAGTAGCTTTTGCCTGTTCTCTTGGTTCTGGAATTGGACTGTTCTAGGTTCAACCACTCAACCAACTTTTCCTTTGAATTTAAAGGAGACTCCAAGGAAACTAATCTAGTTTCTATAATTAATCAATAGACTCTTCTACCTTAAATACCCTTTAATCTGTGAATCATCTGAAGTTTTAGTTATGATCTCAAGTTACTCTTTCAATATAGACTTTTCAAGTGTTTTTAAGTGTTTAAAATATTTTCAAGTGGGAAGAGATTAATGCAGAACATTTAAAGATTTAATTCTCAACCAACCATTCACTAAGACTGTAAAAATATATTGATTACAAAAATTAAAACTAATATCAAGGATATTTTGTCTAGATAAATTAGTGAAAAGTGGGTTAGAAAGGAAACTAACATTCCTGTCCTATCTAATAAAAGAGTAATATGCAAATTGACTGGCCATATTCTAACACACAATATGGCTGCCCCCATGTGGACACAAGATGGCCACCACAAGATGGCCAGCAGGGGAGGGAAGTTGTGGGTGATCAGGCCTGCAGGGGGAGGGCAGTTGGGGGCAATCAGACTGGAAAGGTAGGGCAGTTAGGGGTTACCAGCCAGCAGGGAAAGGCAGTTGGGGGCAATTGGGCTGGCAGGGGAGGGCAGTTGTGGGTGATCAGGGAAGCAGAGGAGGGCAGTTGTGGGTGATCAGGAAAGCAGGGGAGGGCAGTTAGGGGTGACTGGGCCAGCAGAGGAGGGCAGTTGGGGGCACTCAGGCCTTCAGGGAAGGACAGTTGCGGGGGATCCAAGCCTGCAGGGGAGGGTAGGTTTGGGGGACCAGGCCTGCAAGGGAGGGCAGTTGGGGGCAATCAGACCTGCAGGAGAGAGCAGTTAGG